CCATTTTTTTTTTCAAAATATACATTCCTCATTGAAATGTACTGAGCAAACATAATGTCCCTTGATAATCTCTTTAGGTGTGTTTGGATCAATAACCAGAGCAAGTAAGTTAGCCATTTCTTCATCCAGTCAGCGTTTTTAGTTGGAATTCTGTGAAACATGGTATTACCTCCCCTGTTTACTGTCACAGCTATTTACAATAGAGCGAAAACCCATGACTGTAAACTACGCTTTTACTATTTATAAATTGTTACCCAAACTCTGAGCAAACACTGCTCCTCACCACGGCGTGTCTCAGGTGATGCGGTTATCACTCCGTCAAAGTAGCAGTGCTTCGCCTTCAGAGAATAGTTCCCAGGTTTTATACGGTTCTGTGTCTCATTTGACTTTGTTATTTGTACACTCTGTGACTATTCAAACCACAACATGTAAATAGGAAAACGTTTGCGTTATTTTGTCACTCATTTGGATTAGTATGAAAGCTGCAACCATTCACATCCAGTCTTTGTGCTAAGCTAGGCTAGCGGTGGGTGCGTCAAACATACTTATAGCACACACGGAGATGAAAAAGGTATGTATGGACTTATCTAACTCTGGGGGATAAGGTGAATAGGCTAAAGTCCCAAAAAGTCGGAGTGTTCCTTTAAAGAATGTTACTCTAACAATGTGTTAATAGCGTTTTCATGCTGTTTTGAGGACATTTATCTTTAAATTTAACATTTGCGTTTACGCAGGAACATTTGTCCGTAATATTGAGAGAACCTTTACAGAATGTTTTAGTCAAAGTTCTGAGAATATTTGCTGAGAAGACTGGACGTTTTTGTTGGTAGCCTAGCTAATGATTAACCGATCAAAAAGAGTTTGTCCTTATATAAACAACACAATGACAGCTGGCATGACTTTGACTATTTAAGATGGTTTAAAAGTTCCAAATAAAAAATCAGGTCAAAATTTTCTAAATTTCACATTAAAGGCAAGTTCACATCAAGGACGATAACTACACTGATAAATATTTAGCTTTATAATTATTCTAAATGTAAAAGAATAGCAGAGTTTACACCACAATTATAACGGCACAGAGAAACAATATCATTGGAATCACTTTCAGAACGATTTTTTTCCAGATCAGATTCCTGCTTAAAGGGAAAATCCACTTTTTTTGGAAATAGGCTCATTTTACAACTCCCTCAGAGTTTAACAGTTGAGTTTTACCGTTTTCGAATCCATTCAGGCGATTTTCTGAATATCAGTAACCCGGTAGTTTCTGGTCTCATTAACACTACTCGCATACCAGTGCAGTGAAATTTTATTTCAATTTCCTAATTTCATCTCTCATATAGATGATGAAATGTGCAAACGATACTTCAGTAAATATGCTATGTTTGCAATTTCATATTCTAATTGCATAAGTGAATGAGGAGAAGGTTGAGTGTGTAAATGAATTAAATCAATAATTATCTGCATTGATCCATGTCTGTATTGATTATTCCAAAACGCTTTGCGTTTTCCAATCTGCTCAGTGAGACTCAGAGTCTACAGAAGGGCTATGAGCTCAAAGCGTTTACATGGAGATGAAATGCTCACCTTCAGGAGTGAAGTGACTGGAAAACAGTCACAAATAAATGGAATCAATGTAATCAGCTAACAGCTGAATGCCATTGCCAGTTTCACACCATTTGTGTTTTAGTTGCTCCCAGGGGCTCCATCTAAATCCAGCATGGGAAATATTCTTAATTAGATTACATAAGAAATATAATGTCTCAATCACACAGCATGCTTTGTTGAATTGTAAATATAAGACATTTTTCCTACTCTAAATTTTCCATCAAAAACAGCCTTTCATGTTCTCTTATGCTACCCAAAACAGAAAGTGGAAGGGTAATGCATGAAAGACAATCAAATACACTGTAAGCATGAGACACGGGGTTGTTGACGAGGACGTAACTGTGGCAAACCTTAATCAAAGTGTAATTCATTCCTCTGTGTGTGTATGAGCTACAGGGTTAAGGTCACTCTAGTGATTAATTTAGACATGGAAAGAGGTACGACGTCACTTTGAGCTTGCTGACCTTGATGGTTGTAAATCTATTGGCCAACATATTTCTTTGTGATGCTCTGAGACCTGTTGGCCACTGCTTAGTGGATCCTTTGCCTAATTTCATCAGCTGCATATTACAGTAGGCTAAGTAGCTGATTCTCATGCTATGAGAATGTGAACCTGGAAATGAGATTATGTGTTTGCAAATAATATTTTTTTTAAGTCGACATGAATTTTTCAATGTCTTATTCCAATTTCCACTTTTTAACGTTACAATTTTTAGCATTTGGTTTTGCTTTGTCCCACTAGACAAGATCCTAATTTTTTTTGTATTGGAATTTGTAGTATGTAGTGCATTCTGCTAAATGTATTCATTCATCAGCCCAAGGTCCATGTAATAATGGTTTAAATGTTTTAATATACAAAGTTTCAACATTGTAAATTAGGGGCTGCTGGCAGTCATGCACGTTCAGTTATTATTTTATTAAATTATTTCAAACATATAAACTCTTGCTAAAACTATATCATCTGAAAATGAAACTATTCTCCTCACCACATGGCTTAGAGTTATACTGTCCCCTAGTGGTGTTTTTGCCACAATGCACAATGGATCAGTTATATTCAGTAAAATTTACACCATTGATGTGCAATTTGCTGAATAAATAAGCTTTTGGTAAAGGTGAATAATAATCACACTCTCTCAAGCAAGTTGCAATAGTTTACATTTTCAAACCATTCTGAATGGGCTATCTAAGGCGACACAGAAGGAATAGCCTATTGATTGAACAATTAAATATCATTGCAAATCACTCATTAAAAGTGTAATCGTATTGTTTTTCACTTTATATATAACACTTTAAAGATAAACATACCAAAAGCAGAGAGCTCCAGACAAAGGTGGTTGCGGGACACATAGGCTACTGAAACATTACCCATCTGGACACTCGCTTGGCCCACATGGACAATATGTTCTGTATGAAAAGAGCAAACAAATAAAGATGAAAGAGTATTGGTTTTGTTCTGGCATTTAAATGCATTTCTGATTAAGTACTTTTACCTAGCAAATATGAAAGCCCTGATGGGACACGGAGCTGCCGTCGGTCCAATGTTTGCTGGGCATTTAAATGGGCTGGACAGGACCAGTGAAGTCTCAGCAGGGCTGGACGGGACCAGCGGTGAAGCCTCGACAGGGCTCACTGGGACCAGTGGTGTAGGCTTGGCACTGGCAGGACTGGAATGGGACCAGCGGTGAAGGCTCTTTGCTGGGACGGGACCAGCGGTGAATGCTCTGCAATCTTGGTTGGTGACAAGGGCTCAGGCAAGATGTGGAGATCAAGGTCAAGACTTCCAAGAAGATCCGGCATGGCGTGGTGATCAGGCATGACGTGACGATCTGTTGGGCTGGCTGTGTCCCTGATCGAGGCCCGACACGATCTCCAGACACCGAATGACGGTCGCTCTCCAGTTCAGTCCGGTTGCGTCGTGGGTCTATACGGTGGTTGAAAGTGTCTCCGATCCAGAGTCTCAGCAAGACGCGGCAAAAGTCTTGAGAAAATGTTAGGAGATCTTGGCTATTGACACAACAGACTGTGACACCTGATTTGAATGCCCTAACTGCTTTTAAATTCTATATCCAACTAAGATGTTTATTAAATATTAGGGAAATTAACAAAAATGTTGCCTTTTTGATTTGATTGGATTTGCATATTCTAGAAGACAATTTGCCATACTACATGTGTGTGCTAAAAAAAAAATCTTCTGCCATCTGCTGGTCAAATCGATAAACGCTAAACCTTTTACAACCGCTAGGAGCCAGCATAATATATTCCATCTCTGGAATTCAACTAAAGCATTAAAGTTGAAAGTTGAATGAGGTTAGCAAGTAAGTGGTGACATATGGAGTCAATTTCTATCTGTAAGAAAACCAAAATCATAAGCCTAAAATATACAAAAATGACATGGATAACACCCTACCTTTAAACCCAAAAAAAGTCTATACTACTTAGCTACATACAGTATTAAGAGTAAAAGTCTTACTTCTGAAGTAAAGTGATATAGTTCACCCAAAAGGAAGACTCTGTCATTATTTACTCACCCTCACGTTGTTCCAAACCTACATGAATTTATTTCTTCTGCTGCACAGAGTTTAAAGAATGTCATTACCCAAACAGCTGATGGGGCCCACTGACATAGGGGTCCATCAACTGTTTGGTTACCGACATTCTTCATGGGTGAGCTATCACTTTAACATTGCTCTGGAGGCAGATACTTTCGTAAACAGAAACATAGTCACAGAGACAGAAAAGTATCAAATCCACGTAATTATCTTATATATCACAGTTTCCGAATAGCACAGGCTCTGCCATCACAGCAGATACTCAGGTTACAAGAAAAAGGAAGTGGCATGCGCTTTCATGCATGATTTTCAGGAAGCCACATAAAAGGAAAATTTAAGGTGTTGTTCTCAGCATACAATTCAATCCGTGCAAGTATTGTATTTCTATTTTTCAATCTCCTGCAACAAACATCATTCAGAGCACACACACACACACACACACACACACACACACACACACACACACACAGGGTATCACATTACTTCAACTCTCTGAAATAAGAGGAGCCATTATTAATTCATGAAAGTGGCTCCTCCACATGAGTAACCTACAAATTCTTTCTTAGATATATGCTTCTTTGTGTTGAGAATACATGAACCAAGATTTTGCACAAGGCAAATAGTTTGCTCAGCTGTGCTTTTGTCAAAATGTTCCCCAGAGGATCAAAGAAGGTTTTTGTAATATTGTTCACCAGTCTATTCAGTTTTATATCTTGCCTTAACAATAAACTAGTCCTTTGAGTGTAGGACACATTAACCTCATTCTTTTTCTTTTTGTCTTCCTCATTGTTCAGCCTGAAGACACTATCGACATCAGTGACTTCTCTTATTACAGAGAACAGTTATCGCATGATGCTCCAGGTATAAATATGTTTGGTGTCAGACTTTGACACATTAAGAGCTTCGTTCCGAACCCTGAGCATCGGCTGGAAGACAAAATACAATATGGTAACTCATAACTTTTTTGTATTAGACATGATTTTAATATATTCTGATGGTTAAATCAGTATGAAAGTAAATATTTCTCTTTCTGCAGCGTGAGTGCATTTCCGTTCATGTTGGCCAAGCTGGAACGCAGATTGGAAATGCATGCTGGGAGCTTTACTGTCTGGAGCACGGTATCCAGCCGGACGGACAGCTGCCGAGTGATAAGACAATAGGAGGAGGAGACGATTCCTTCAACACCTTCTTCAGTGAGACGGCTTCTGGGAAACATGTTCCACGTGCCATCTTTGTTGATCTGGAACCCACTGTGATTGGTATGGTATGGTATTTAAAATAGCATGTGAATACCACAATGATGAAAAAAAAATTAAAAATCAGATTGAAACGTTCAGCTTTCTATGAACGTAGACGAAGTACGGACAGGCACCTACCGCCAGCTCTTTCACCCAGAACAACTCATCACTGGAAAAGAAGACGCTGCCAATAACTATGCCAGAGGACACTACACCATCGGCAAGGAGATCATTGACTCAGTTCTGGATCGGATTCGCAAACTGGTAATGTTTTTTCGTCTGATTCAGTTTGAAAAATGACTGTAGAAATATTTTTGGTAAGCTTGATTTCTCCTCTCTTCCAAAAGACTGATCAGTGCACTGGCCTCCAAGGTTTCCTGGTGTTCCACAGTTTTGGTGGAGGTACTGGCTCTGGCTTCACTTCCCTGCTGATGGAGCGTCTCTCTGTCGACTACGGCAAGAAGTCCAAGCTCGAGTTTGCCATCTATCCTGCTCCTCAAGTGTCCACAGCGGTGGTGGAGCCCTACAACTCCATCCTGACCACCCACACCACCCTGGAGCACTCCGATTGTGCCTTCATGGTGGACAACGAAGCCATCTATGACATCTGTCGTAAAAACCTGGACATTGAGCGTCCGAGTTACACCAACCTCAACAGGCTCATTGGGCAGATTGTATCCTCCATCACGGCCTCGCTGAGATTTGACGGAGCTCTGAATGTGGATCTCACTGAATTCCAAACCAACTTGGTGCCCTACCCACGTATCCATTTCCCCCTGGCTACATACGCTCCAGTGATCTCTGCTGAAAAGGCGTATCACGAGCAGTTTTCTGTGGCTGACATAACCAATGCCTGCTTTGAGCCGTCAAATCAGATGGTGAAATGTGATCCTCGAAATGGTAAATACATGGCCTGCTGTCTTCTGTATCGTGGAGATGTGGTGCCCAAAGACGTCAATTCTGCCATCGCTACTATCAAGACCAAACGCACCATCCAGTTTGTTGACTGGTGCCCCACTGGATTCAAAGTAGGAATCAACTATCAGCCTCCAACAGTGGTTCCTGGTGGAGATCTGGCCAAAGTACAGAGAGCTGTTTGCATGTTGAGCAACACTACAGCCATTGCTGAGGCCTGGGCTCGTCTAGACCACAAATTTGACCTGATGTACGCCAAGAGAGCCTTTGTGCACTGGTATGTGGGTGAGGGAATGGAGGAAGGAGAGTTTTCAGAGGCCAGAGAAGACATGGCAGCTCTGGAGAAGGATTATGAAGAAGTCGGCACTGACAGCGTGGGAGATGATGAGGATGGAGTGGAATTTTAAATGTTGTTTTTTGTAATCTTATGGGTAATCAGATATTTTAATCTGATAAAATTAGTTTTAGCGTGTTCTTTTTGGAAGGCTATGTTTTCTTTGATATCACTTTATAATGCTATTTTATAACTTAACATTAGTTAATGCAATAGCCACATAAAACAAAAATGAATACTTTTACAGCATTTATTAATTTCTACTAATAGATTTTAAATATATATATATATATATATATATATATATATTATCAATGACCATGTTAATTAATTATAAACAAACATTTGAACAGCTAATAAATAAATGCTGTAAAAAAAGTTTATTGTTAGTTCATTATACCCAACATATTAACTTCATGTTCCCAGTTCCTTTTTTATATTTTATTTCTTATGCAAAAGTTAAATCTATTAAAAAGTAAGGATTAATTGGAAAAAAATACAATAGAATTGAGCAGTCAAAATATTTTCTTATAAAAACCTGCACTCTTTTCATGATGTGCTGTTGGACCTGTCATCTGTTCAAAATCTATACATTTGCACATGCAAAAGTGATAAAGGCCTACAGGACAAAACAACATTTTCCAGCATGACACCCTGCCCCCACCGATGTCTTAGCACAAAAATGACCACCTGCTGTAGCTGTAATTCATGATTCAGCTGTTTGTTCATGTCATTGGGCATCAGTATGAGAGGCTGGATATTGTCTGTGCTTTCTATGTAGCACAGAAATTAAAGTCTGATGACAATTGTGTCTGTGTGTTAATTTTCTTCCTGTATAGCAAGAACCTTGTCTATAGAAAAACTTAGTCAGTAGTGCTTTTTTTGCTTTGTTAACACCAAGAAACACATCTGTTTTCCAATATAGGGCTACGTTTACAGTACTTCGACACAAAAGTTGTCTTTCACACAAAAGACGTGAAGTAATTATATGACAATTTCACCCTAAAGTCTTTAAACTTGCCTTTCTTCATGCAGGAATCACACAAAAAAAGTCAATATATAATTTCTCTGCCGTTGTTATGCAACTTCAACACATGAACATGAAGAACTTTGACTTATATCCTGTAGGCTACAAATCATTGCTGGAATCTTTTTGAATGCCCAAAAAAGCTAGTAAAGGGGGCAGATGGTTTTCACAGACCCAAAACTCCCAAGAGAGAGCAAGACGGACGGCCCTTCTGCTTCTGAATGACTATCCTCACTCCAATGGGCGATCCCGATCCCACTTCCTGTTAACCCCTTCCCTTACTCCTCCCCTCTCTATAAAAACCCCACCTCTCCTTTCTTCTCCACATCTGCCTTCTCTCTTCCGAATCCTCAAGTCGGCCTGAAGGGAAATCTGACAAGATGGTAAGTTTTTAGTGCTTGATCGATTCTTCCCTCTAATCTTTTCATAAAATCACAGACTTAAAATCCACATGTACAGTTTTTTTTATTTTACATTTTAGTGGATGCTAGGAGATTTCAGTAAACACTATGACACTTTGATAATTTTCTTAAAATATTAATTTGTTATTTGTTATGTCAAAGACAAAGTTAGCAGCACTGTAGTTAAACTATCGAAACATGTTTTAATGAAAGTGATTAAGAGTGAAGCATTATGCCATGAAAGGTTTCAGGCACAGAGCTGGCCTTTCATTATACAGAGGATGTGGCTGCAGCCTTCAAATCCTGGTCCCAGACTAATGACACACAACTTAGCAGGAAACTCCAATACTTCGCTTTTTCTGAATATAACATGTAACTATGTTTGGTGGTTCTGCATTCAAAATAGCTCACTGAAACTCTGTCAACCAAAGAGGAGACATGGTGGAACTACACCATGAAAAATGCTGTTACTCGCAGAATGAATGCATTCATGTCTTTTTGACATACAAAGAGGCATTAGTAGATGAGATCATGAGTGAAAATAGCTGGAGCATAGCAGAATAATAGATAGAACTGTTCTAGTGAAAAGGCCCTAGTGACATTTCTCTGTGACACAAAGAAGGGTGTACAGCTGGGATGGGGGTGGAGGGGTGGGGTTGACTGAGGCCTCCAAGGAACTCGCTCAGTCTCATCTTCTGTACTTTAAGGATCGTATGACCAAGCCTATAGATGAGAGGGTAAACATGCATGTAAATATGACCGTTTATTTTCTGAGTTCTACATTGAACAATATAGGTCCAAAAGCGTAGGAAAAAGCATAAATGTGTTACAGTATTGAGCTTTGGGTGAGCTCAGCCAGCATTTAAACAATTAAAAATAAACTCAACTATAAAATTTCCTCATTCAAAACAATTAAAAAAATGCATCTAGTTCAATGGTTTTCAACCTTTTTGACTCCAAAGTACCTCATTGTCCACAAAAAACATGAAGGCTTGTTTTCAAAATGGTAACGCTTTACGATAAGGTTTAATTTGTTAATGCATTAACTAACATAAACTAACAATTAGCAATTTGTACAGTATTTATTAATCTTTGTTAATGTTAGTTAATAAAAAATCCAGATGTTAATTGTTTGTTCTTGTTAGTTCAGAGTGCATGAACTAATGTTACAAATACAACATCTGATTTCCACAATGTATTCATAAATGTTGAAATTATTACCTGATCAGTAAATGCTGTAGAGGTTTTGTTCATTCTTAGTTCATGTTTACAGTAGTTAAGTAATGGTAACTTATGAAACCTTATTGTAAAGTATTACCTTCAAAACTTATTTTAAAGGGCTATATTCTATAAAATATATGTAACTTAAATAATTATTTTAAAAATAAATCAGTATAATTTCAGAATTCCAGAGGAGTTAGGAACAGAATGTTCTTCAGGCTTCACACTCTTTTAAACCAATGAATGTCCATGACTCTTCCAGTTGTTTATATATATTAATATATACATATTATATTGTTTATATATATTGTTAAAATATATTTAATTTAAAATATCCATTTCAGTAGTGAAATAGTTTTCCAAGTCTAGAAATACTAAGGAATACTACTTCGATTTTTTTTTTTTTTTTTAGCTTGTCAAAGCATGTTTTGTCTAATGTTACATCACCTTGAAGTGGAAATTTGAAATTTCTGAGAACCTGGCCCCCTGATCTACTTAAATATTTAAAGCTACCAGGTTACTGTATCTTTAATTTCTTAGACAGCCATAGAGTATTTAGCAAACATATGTACAGGACCGACACTTATATTCATATACTTTACTCTCCTTTTCTCTTCAGCGCGAATGTATCTCTATGCATGTTGGCCAAGCTGGGGCCCAAATGGGAAATGCATGCTGGGAGCTTTACTGCCTTGAACACGGTATACAACCGGATGGACAGATGCCGAGTGATAAGACAATAGGAGGAGGAGACGATTCCTTCAACACCTTCTTCAGTGAGACAGGATCAGGGAAACATGTTCCACGTGCCATCTTTGTTGATCTGGAACCCACTGTGATTGGTAAGTTGAACCTGAGGAACAGAATATAATGAATCTAAGACCCCGTTTACACCTGGTATTAAAATGCGATCTGTATCCAGATAAGTTATCCGGATAATAAGTACTGATTGCATTTACACCTGGCCACATAAATGTGTTTTTGCAAAACGGATATAAATCCGATCTTCACCTCCTGCGTTATATGCAGATTTATTGGATTGCACGCCACCAAAAGCAACAGATCTGAGCGGCATTTTATTGATCATAGCTAATTTCCAAATCCGAGACATCAATAAGAGAGAGTGGCAACAGGCCTGGTAAGATAATTTCGTTTCTTTACTTGAAGATGTGTTAACTGCGTCTGTGACTTACTTTCACTTTTATTTGCGATGTTTGCACGTTGAATAGACGCTCAGCTGCTCATCTGCGGTGATGCGTGTCGCGTGTCGCATCTGACTAGGCTATAAATATGACATAGCCTATATAACACGCTCTCACTCGTTTATTTTTTAGCATTTTTGGGAGGAGTAAAATATACATATGTGGTTTCAACAACCAGATTGCGTTTACACGTAGTAAAGATCCGGACACAATGCGAGCCAGACTACCTCCAGATGTGGTCAGGCAGATCCGATCACGATCCGATCACAACGCGTTTACACCTTGCATTAACATGCGTTTTTTATTATCCGGATAACTTATCTGGATACAGATCGCATTTTAATACCAGGTGTAAACGGGGTCTAAATGATCATGAAAACATTTTACAAAATATTGGGAAAACAACATATCTTTCAAACAGTGTATTTCCTTATAACAAGCAATCAAATACAAACTATTGTTGGATTTCCCATTAATTAATTTTATTTATTTGCTATTAAGAATGAAAAAGGATCGGAATTTAAACTAGTTTCTTTCCTTTTCAGATGAGGTGCGCACAGGCACATATCGCCAGCTTTTCCATCCAGAGCAACTAATTACAGGCAAGGAAGATGCTGCCAATAACTATGCACGTGGTCATTACACTATTGGTAAAGAGATCATTGACCTAGTGCTGGACAGAACTCGCAAACTGGTATGGTTTATAAACACTTGACTTAAAAGCATTAAAGATTATGAAATGTAATTTCTAATAAGCTGATTTACTACAAATCCAACAGGCTGATCAGTGCACTGGCCTTCAAGGATTTCTCATCTTCCACAGTTTTGGTGGAGGTACTGGCTCTGGCTTCACTTCCCTGCTGATGGAGCGTCTCTCTGTCGACTACGGCAAGAAGTCCAAGCTCGAGTTTGCCATCTATCCTGCTCCTCAAGTCTCCACAGCGGTGGTGGAGCCCTACAACTCCATCCTGACCACCCACACCACCCTGGAGCACTCCGATTGTGCCTTCATGGTGGACAACGAAGCCATCTATGACATCTGTCGCAAAAACCTGGACATTGAGCGTCCGAGTTACACCAACCTCAACAGGCTCATTGGGCAGATTGTGTCCTCCATCACGGCCTCGCTGAGATTTGACGGAGCTCTGAATGTGGATCTCACTGAATTCCAAACCAACTTGGTGCCCTACCCACGTATCCATTTCCCCCTGGCTACATACGCTCCAGTGATCTCTGCTGAAAAGGCGTATCACGAGCAGCTTTCTGTGGCTGACATAACCAATGCCTGCTTTGAGCCGTCAAATCAGATGGTGAAATGTGATCCTCGACATGGTAAATACATGGCCTGCTGTCTTCTGTATCGTGGAGATGTGGTGCCTAAAGACGTCAATTCTGCCA